GTATGGACCAGTATGGACCAGTACGGACCAGTACGGACCAGTACGGACCAGTACAAACCAATACAAACCAGTACGGACCAGTATAAACCAGTAACCCTAATTGCAAGTTTAACCCGTTTTTAACCCTTTTTAACCCATTTTTCCTTCTTTTTTTCCCCATTCCCCCCCTTTTCCCCCCATTTCCCCACTCCCAGTCCCTCCCAGTATAAACCAGTACAAACCAGTAACCCCAAATCCCCTTTTTAATATTTTTAACCCCTTTTTAACCCCTTTTTAACCCCTTCTTTACCCATTTTCACCCATTTTTCACCCTTTTTTCCCCATTTTCCCCCCATTTTCCCCCCTTTTCCCCCCATTTCCCCGCTCCCAGTCCCTCCCAGTATAAACCAGTGTAACCCAGTCCCTCCCAGTATAAACCCGTATCCCCAACCCCACATTTAACCCTTTCTTAACCCTTTTAAAGTCCCTTTTTGCACATCATTCACCATTTTTTCATCCTTTTTTCCCCATTTTCCCCCCATTTTCCCCCCTTTTCCCCCCATTTCCCCGCTCCCAGTCCCTCCCAGTATAAACCAGTATGAACCAGGCTCACCCCAGCGACACGGGTTTGGGGCAGGAGATGCCGGCGCCCTCCATGCGCAGCGAGGCTCCGTTCAGCGGCTCGGGCAGAGGGTTCTGGAAAACCACCTGCACCGCCACCTCCTCGCCCACCACGGCCGGGCCCAGCAGCTGCGGGACACCCAAAATCCCCACGTTTCACCCCAAAAAAATCCCACATTTTTTACCCCCAAAAAATCCCCTTTTTTTACCCAAAAATCCCCCTTTTTTTCATCATTTTAACTCCTTTTAACTCCCAGGTTCTTGTGTTTTACCCTGAATTTATAATTTTTAGCCCAGAATGATTTGATTTAGCATGAACATGATGATTTTTAGTGTGAAAATTGTGAGATTTGGGCCCAAAATTGGTGATTTTGGCCCCAAAATATTTTGGACACCAGGTCTACCCATTAAAGTCAATGGGGATTCGAGGACAACAGGTCTACCCCCATTCAAGTCAATGGGGAGTTTTGGACAACAGATCTACCTCTATTAAAGTCAATGGGGAGTTTTGGACAACAGGTCTACCTCCATTAAAGTCAATGGGGAGTTTTGGACACCAGGTCTGCCCCCATTAAAGTCAATGGGGATCTATGGACACCAGGTCTACCCATTAAAGTCAATAGGGAGTTTTGGACAACAGGTCTATCCATTAAAGACAATGGAGATTTTCAGGCAACAGGTCTACCCCCGTTAAAGTCGAGATTTTTTTGACAACAGGTCTACCCCCATTAAAGGTAATGGGGATTTATGGACAACAGGTCTATCCATTAAAGACAATGGAGATTTTCAGGCAACAGGTCTACCCCCGTTAAAGTCGAGATTTTTTTGACAACAGGTCTACCCCCATCAAAGTCAATGGGGAGTTTTGGACAACAGGTCTACCCCCATTAAAGGTAATGGGGATTTATGGACAACAGGTCTATCCATTAAAGTCAATGGGGATTTCAGGACAACAGGTCTACCCACATTAAAGTCTAGAGAGAGTCCAAGGACAACAGGTCTACCCCATTAAAATCAATGGGGATTTTGGCAGCACCAGGTCTACCCATGGAAACCAATGGGCATTTGGGGGATTTTGGGGGGATTTTGGGGATTTTTTGGGGGGTTTTTGGGATTTTTTTGAGGATTTGGAATTTTTTTTTTTGAGGGATTTTTGGTGGGATTTTTTGCCGTTACCGTGAGGGTGAGCTCGGGCGTGTGCAGCAACCCAACCCCCAATTTTCGCGATTTTTTTTGCAATTTTTTGGGTGATTTTTTAGCGATTTTTTTGCGATATTATTGCGATTTTTTTGGGTATTTTCAGGATTTTTTGGGGGGATTTTTTTGAGGTGATTTCTGGGGTTTTTAGGGTTTTTGGGGCCATTACTCTCAGGGTGAGCTCGGGCGTGTGCAGCAACCCAACCCTGAATTTTTGTGATTTTTTTTGCCATTTTTTGGCCTTTTTTTTGCGATTTCTTTGGGTATTTTCAGGATTTTTTGGGGGATTTTTTGGGTTAATTTTTGTGATAATTTTTCGGGATTTTTTTGGGCTGATTCCCGGCATTTTTGGGGTTTTCCCCTTACCGTGAGGGTGAGCTTGGGCGTGTGCAGCAACCCAACCCCACATTTTTGCGATTTTTTGGGGGGGATTTTTTTGCGATTTTTTTTTTTTGCGATTTTTGGGTATTTTTGGCGAGATTTTCGGGATATTTTTTTTGGGTGATTTTGGGGGTTTTTGGGATTTTCCCGTTACCATCAGGGTGAGCTCGGGTGTGTGCAGCAACCCTGCCCTAGAGAACCCCAAATTGTTGCGATTTTTTTGCGATTTTTTTGCGATTTTTTTGCGATTTTTTTGCGATTTTTTTGCGATTTTTTGCAGCAACCCAACCCCACATTTTTGCGATTTTTTGGGGGGATTTTTTTGCAATTTTTTTTTGCGATTTTTGGGTATTTTTTGTGAGATTTTCGGGATATTTTTTTGGGGTGATTTCTGGCATTTTTGAGATTTTTTCCCTTTACCGTCAGGGTGAGCTCGGGCGTGTGCAGCAATCCAACCCCCAATTTTCGCGACATTTTTTCGATTTTTTTCGATTTTTTTTGTAATTTTTGGTGGGTTTTTTTTTGAGGAATTTTCGGGATATTTTTGGGGGGATTTTTTTGGGGTGATTTCTGGCATTTTTGAGATTTTTTCCCTTTACCGTCAGGGTGAGCTCGGGAGTGTGCACCAACCCAACCCCGAATTTTTGTGATTTTTTTTGCGATTTTTTTGCAATTTTTGTGATTATTTTCCGCGATTTTCGGGCTATTTTTGGGGGGATTTTTTGGGGGGATTTTTTTGGGGTAATTTCCGAGTTTTTTGGGATTTTTTTCCCATTACTGTCAGGGTGAGCTTGGGCATGTGCAGCAACCCAACCCCAAATGTTTCCCATTTTTTTGGGGACTTTTTCATGATTTTTTTGCGATTTTTGGGGGATTTTTTGGGGGGATTTTTATGGAATTTTTCTGATAATTTTTTGGGGATTTTTTTGGGGTGATTCCCGGTGTTTTTGGTTACCGTGAGGGTGAGCTCGGGCGTGTACACCAACCCAACCCCAAATATTTCCCATTTTTTTGTGATTTTTTCGCGATTTTTTTGCGATTTTTGGGGAATTTTTTTTGCAATTTTTGCGGGATTTTCGGGCTATTTTTGGGGATTCTTTTGGGGATTTTTTTGGGGTGAATCCCGGCGTTTTCGGTTACCGTGAGGGTGAGCTCGGGCGTGTGCAGCCGCACCAGCAGCTCCTTGGCCAGCACCTGGCCGCTCTCCTGCACCGCGGCCGCCACCGTCAGCTTCAGCGCGTCCTGGTCCCCGACGTGGGGCCGGTACTCGGCGTAGGGCACGGCCATGGTCACCGTGTCCTCTGGGGGGACATTGGGGACATCACTGGGGACATTGGGGACACGGCCATCGTCACCGTGTCCTCTGGGGGGAACAGGGGACATCAGGAACACGGCCATCGTCACCGTGTCCTCTAAAGGGGACATTGGGGACATCAGGGACATTGGGGACATTGGGGACATTGGGGACACGGCCATGGTCACCGTGTCCTCTGGGGACATCACTGGGGACACGGCCATCGTCACCGTGTCCTCTGGGGGGACACAGGGGACATCATTGGGGACATTGGGGACACGGCCATGGTCACCGTGTCCTCTAAAGGGACACAGGGGACATTGGGGACATCATTGGGGACACGGCCATCGTCACCGTGTCCTCTAAAGGGGACATTGCGGACATTGGGGACATCATTGGGGACATTGGGGACACGGCCATGGTCACCGTGTCCTCTAAAGGGACACAGGGGACATTGGGGACATCATTGGGGACATGGCCATCGTCACCGTGTCCTCTGGGGACATTGGGGACATCATCGGGGACATTGGGGACATCGGGGACACCCCAGGGACATCAGGGACATCATTGGGGACATCATTGGGGACATTGGGTACAAACCAGTACAAACCAGTCCCTCCCAGTCCAAACCAGTACAAACCAGTGCAACCCAGTCCCTCCCAGTCTCCTCCCAGTACAAACCAGTGCAAACCAGTACAAACCAGTCCCTCCCAGTCCAAACCAGTACAAACCAGTGCAACCCAGTCCCTCCCAGTCTCCTCCCAGTAAAACCAGTCCAAACCAGTATAACCCAGTCTATCCCAGTCTCCTCCCAGTACAAACCAGTCCAAACCAGTCCAAACCAGTACAAACCAGTATAACCCAGTCCCTCCCAGTACAAACCAGTACAAACCAGTACAAACCAGTACAAACCAGTAAAACCAGTAGCAAACACGGAGTTCAACACCAAATTTCCCCCATTTTTTCCCACTTTTGGTGACCCCAAACCCCCTCAAACCCTCTCCCAGTATAAACCAGTACAAACCAGTCCCTCCCAGTCCCTCCCAGTACAAACCAGTACAAACCAGTATCAAATCCTGAAATTAACACCAATTTTTCCTCATTTTTCCCCATTTTTCCCCCATTTGGTGAACCCAAAACCCCTTCCCAGTATAAACCAGTCCAACCCAGTCCAACCCACTCCCCTCCCAGTACAAACCAGTACAAACCAGTACAAACCAGTACCAAATCCTGGATTTAAGGCCAAATTTTCTTCATTTTTCCTCATTTTTCCCCATTTCCCCCCTTTCAGTGACCCCAAACCCCCTCCCAGTCCCCTCCCAGTCCAAACCAGTCCAAACCAGTACCAAACCACCACCAAATCCTGTATTTAACACCCATTTTTCCCCATTTTCCCCCATTTTTCCCCCCTTTTCCCCCCTTTCAGTGACTCCCAGAACCCCTCCCAGTACGAACCAGTCCCTCCCAGTACCCTCCCATCATAACCCAGTATAACCCAGTACAAACCAGTCCAACCCAGTATAAACCAGTACCACACCACCACCAAATCCTGGATTTGACACCCATTTTTCCCCATTTTCCCCCATTTTTCCCCCCTTTTCCCCCCTTTCAGTGACTCCCAGAACCCCTCCCAGTACAAACCAGTCCCTCCCAGTACCCTCCCATCATAACCCAGTATAAACCAGTACAAACCAGTCCAAACCAGTATAAACCAGTACCAAACCACCACCAAATCCTGGATTTGACACCCATTTTTCCCCATTTTTCCCCCATTTTCCCCCTTTTCAGTGACCCCAAACCTCCTCCCAGTCCAAACCAGTCCCTCCCAGTCCCTCCCAGTACAAACCAGTACCAAACCAGTATAAACCAGTATCAAATACTGGATTAAACACCCATTTTTCCTCATTTTTTCCCCATTTTCTCCCATTTTTCCCCATTTCCCCCCTTTCAGTGACTCCCAGAACCCCTCCCAGTCCCCTCCCAGTCCAAACCAGTACAAACCAGTCCCTCCCAGTCCCTCCCAGTACAAACCAGTACCAAACCAGTATAAACCAGTATCAAACACTGGATTAAACACCCATTTTTCCTCATTTTTCCCCATTTTCTCCCATTTTTTCCCCATTTCCCCCCTTTCAGTGACCCCTAGAACCCCTCCCAGTCCAAACCAGTACAAACCAGTACCAAACCAAAACAAATCAGTCCAAACCAGTACAAACCAGTACCAAACCACCACCAAATCCTGAATTTAACACCAATTTTTCACCATTTTTCCCCATTTTTCCCCCATTTTCCCCCCTTTCAGTGACCCCAAACCCCCTCCCAGTCCCTCCCAGTCCCCTCCCAGTATAAACCAGTATCCCCCAGTCCCGGTGCTCACCCTGTCCCGGGGGCAGCGTGCGGCGGTGCTGCTCCTGCCGGAAGGCGGCGCCGGCCACGCCGGTGTAGCGCACGGCGCAGAGCGACAGCCGCAGCCGCAGCGTGCGCGATCATTGGTCATTGGTCATTGGTTGGGTCAAGGGTTGGGTCATTGGTCAAAAGTTGGGTCACTCAGTGGTCAGTGGTCACTCAGGGTCACTCAGTGGTCACTCAGGGTCACTCACTGGTCACTCATTGGTCACTCAGTGGTCACTCAGTGTCACTGACCCTCGGGGTGCTTGTACTGGTCAGTGATGTCCACTCTGGCCGCAGAGCCGGCCCCCACGGTGCTGATCCTGCGGCCGATCGCCCCCTCCTCCACGTGCACCACGGCGAAGCCGCCGTGCGCCTGCCGCTGCCAGTACACCTTGTCGCTGTTCAC